GGGAAGCCTGCTTCTCCCTCTCCCACTCCCACTGCTTGTGTTCCCTCTCTCGCTGTATCTCTCTCTGTCAAATAAATAAAATCTTTAAAAAAAAAAAAAAATGTTAGAGCTTCTTCCAAGGACAAAAATAACCAAAGGGAGACAGAAAGGCTAAGGAAAAAGCAAAATAAAACTCAGCAGTAAAATAAAAACACTGAAAGTCAATTTTATATACATTTTAAAACTTGTGAATTCTGGGGGCGCCTGGGTGGCTTGGTTTAGCATCTGCCTTTGGCTCAGGTCCTGATCCCAGGGTCCTGGGATCCAGCGCCGCATCAGGCTCCCTACTCAGCCAGGAGCCTGCTTCTTCCTCTTCCTCTGCCTGCCGCTCCCCCTGCCTGTGCTCTCTCTGTCAAATAAATAAAATCTTAAAAAAACAAAAACAAAAACAAAAAAACTTGTGAATTCTGTGCGAGCTTATCTTACTTCTATAAGGTGTTAATAACTAAAACCATAAAATAACTAATGATGAGACAAGAAGATTCCTGCCATATAATCTATCTATTCTAGACTAAAAGCTTTATATCTGCTTGTAAAACCTTTAGTTTGACAAATATTTACTAAGCACCTAGTGTATACCAGCCACTCCATAAGGTATTCATTACAAACATAAATCCAACAGGTCATACTCTTAGGGAACTAAGAAACCCATCTTTTCCACAGGATGGGGTCAGTTCTCTGAGAATGAACGTAGGTATGTATGTAGATATAGCTATTGGATCACAAAAGTCTTCTGGGGAGGTGATGTCCAAGTTAACTGAGGAGGAATTGGCCCTTTAAGAGAAGGGCAGGAAACAGTCTATCAGATGAAGGAACAGAATGAGTAATGATGTAGACATGTGCTACAGCATGGTGTGTGCCAGCAAACTGCTTGCAGATGAGTACTCTAACTGTCTGGGGCGTGTAGTAGAGAGATGTAGCACAGTGTGGGGTGCATAGTAGAGAGATGTAGCGGGAACCATGGGTAGGACCACATTATGGAGGGAGCCTTGGGCATCATGCTAAGGAGCTTGGATTGTATCTTTCAGGTGGAGTAATGTGTCTTTCAGGTGAGGAGCTAAGCAGAAGAGTGACAGATTGACATTTCAGAGATATAGAACTCTGGTGGCAGTAAGAAAAATGATTTTGACAAAGAGGTGGTAAGGAGGATTAAGAGTAGCAGATACCAGTTGGGAAGATATTGTAATAGGCCAGGTAAGGAACAATGGTGGTCGATGGTGCAGATGTGTCAAAGAGGGCAAATTAAAAGAAAGAGGCAGATTCACAATCTATTGGAAAGGTAAAGTCAGAATTTAGGGTCTGACTGGAAATTCGGATGAAGATGAGAGAGGTCAAGGACAGTGTAGGCTTAAGATTTCGGTAACTAGTGGAATGATGCTATTGAATGATAGCATACATTCAGCATGTGTGACAGGGTTTGAAGGGAAGCTAACTAGAGGAAACTTTGTTTTATAAAGGCCAACTAGTGAAATTAAGTATAAACACTGAGGTAATTTATTTAAACTTATTTTAAAATAAATTTATTTTTAAAAATGTTTATAAATAATAATAAATTTATTTCAGATGAATAAAATAATTTACTTAATTTACTGCCAATATCCTGAATCACAAAGTTGTATATGTAAAAAATATAAGACTTTTTATTCCTTTTGTTGAAATGACTATATTTCATATTTTAAAAACTATTTTTACATAAAAGTCATTACTTTGATTTAGGGTTTAATGATTAAGAAAGTTCCTCAGGGTATTATTTTTATTGTTCTTGTGTAAATTCCAGCTCCTGCACACAGACTTGTAAAAACAGGGGATGAAGAACTAATCTTGGGTATATACTCCAGTGTGGCTTCCATCGAAGAGTTTCAAATTTCAAAGAGCAGCAGATTCAGCCTCACCTATGTTATAGCAACAATCTACTCTCTAGTAAAAGAACAAAACATATGCTAGATTAAAAAGTGTTTCCTTTTAAACAATATTAAAATGAATATTCTATGTTCTTTTTGACATTTAGATTGGAGCCATGGCTTTGGAACACAACCAGTCAACAGATTACTATGATGGGGAAAATGAAGTGAATGGCACTCATGACTATAGTCAGTATGAAGTGATCTGTATAAAAGAGGAAGTCAGAAAATTTGCAAAAGTTTTCTTGCCTGCCTTCTTCACAATAGCTTTCATCATTGGAATTGCAGGCAATTCCATAGTTGTGGCAATTTATGCCTATTACAAGAAGCAGAGAACCCAAACAGATGTGTACATCCTGAACTTGGCAGTGGCAGATTTACTCCTTCTATTCACTCTGCCTTTTTGGGCAGTTAATGCAGTTCATGGATGGGTGTTAGGGACAATCATGTGCAAAGTCACTTCAGCCTTGTACACAGTCAACTTCGTCTCTGGAATGCAGTTTCTGGCTTGTATCAGCATAGACAGATACTGGGCAGTAACTAAAGCCCCAGGTCAAACAGGAGTGGGGAAACCATGCTGGCTTATCTGTTCCTGTGTCTGGACGGCTGCCATCTTGCTGAGTATACCTCAGCTGGTTTTTTACACAGTAAATGACAAGGTTAGGTGCATTCCCACCTTTCCATATCACCTAGGAACCTCAGTGAAAGCATCAATTCAAATGCTGGAAATCTGCATCGGATTTGTAATACCCTTTCTTATTATGGGAGTGTGCTACTTTGTCACAGCAAGGACACTCATCAGGATGCCCAACATTAAAAAATCTCGACCCCTCAAAGTTCTGCTCACAGTGGTTATAGTTTTCATTGTCACTCAGCTGCCTTATAACATTGTCAGGTTCTGCCAAGTCATAGACATCATCTACTCCCTGATCACTGACTGCGACATGAGCAAACGCATGGATGTTGCCGTCCAAATCACGGAGAGCATTGCACTCTTTCACAGCTGCCTCAACCCAATCCTGTATGTTTTCATGGGAGCCTCTTTTAAAAACTACATTATGAAAGTTGCTAAGAAATATGGGTCCTGGAGAAGACAAAGACAAAACGTGGAGGAGATTCCTTTTGATTCAGAAGATCCTACAGAGCCAACCAGTACTTTTAGCATTTAAATGTAACACTGCTATCTCTTGCTTCGATACACATGAATGCTGCTTCTCCTTCAGATAAAACATCTGCTTTATTCTGAAACTTAAATCTCAAACACCGTGGTGCCAATTTACAGCAATCAAGAGGTGGGGGGAGGATGGGGAGAATATAGCAACCAGGAAGAGGAGGAAACGAAATAATAAATGCACAAAACATGAACTTAAAATTAACAATATAGGAAAATAGTATTAACAGGCATAAATAATAAAAACAGTATGCTATGAATTAGGCCATCTGAAACAGATTAATAAAAAGGCTTATATTAAGGAGCATTTCTAATTATTTTAAATGATCTAAATTTTAATGTAAGAATGATCTCACTGCATAATTTCAGTACTTGAATAACTATACAGCAAAATTTAATCCTTTTTTCCTATTTCTTAGTTTGTGATTTCCTAAGACCCCAGAAAGAATAACAATTTAACAATTAAGAAATTATATAAATAGCTTTACTGGCCCTTTTAATACACCCCTGGTAATTTTTTTTTTCTTTTTATCCCTGGTAAATTTCTGAACATACAATTTGCTTCCATGATGTCAATTTTCTTTAGTAATAAACTGGTTATCCTGTTAGATTTACATGTATACTCTAGAAGCAATCTTTAGATAATCATATTTACCTAGATGCCAATTTTGTGACTTCCTAAAGGGCTCATCCATTTATGTGAGTCTGTTACTGAGGGTTGAATAACCAATACGTATTCTTATGTATAGATTCTTACTATTTTACTTAAGCACTTGCATTTTTAAGCAATAAAAGTATGTGACACAATTTTTAATAACATGTATATCTTATCTCTTTAACTACAATTATTTATAAATTATTACAGTTCATTTAATATGTCCCTACTGAAATTTAATTTTGATAGAAATTATATTGATCAATAGTGTGCACTAATATGAATTTTCTCTCTCGTAAACTATAAAAAAACTGTGAACTGTAGGGGCGCCTGGGTGCTCAGTCATTAAGCATCTGCCTTCGGCTCAGGTCATGATCCCGGGGTTCTGGGATCGAGTCCCACATCGGGCTCCCTGCTCAGCGGGAAGCCTGCTTCTCCCTCTCCCACTCCCCCTGCTTGTGTTCCCTCTCTCGCTGTGTCTCTCTCTGTCAAATAAATAAAATTTAAAAAAAAAAAAAAACAACAAAAACCGTGAACTGTAAAATTGTAGGAAAAAAAAGACATGTTTTCTGCTCTTAAAATAAATATCACCTAATCAAGATATGTTATTTTAAAATTACTTTTCTTTGGGGAGCCTTTGTGGCACTGTTGGTTGAGCTTCTGGCTCTTGGTTTTGGCTCAGGTCGTGAGATCAATCCCCAGGTTGGGCTCTGCACTCAGCATGGAGTCTGCTTGGAGTTTCTCTCTCCCTCTCCCTCTGCCTCTGCCCTAACCCCCACCCCTGCACTCTCTCCCTCTCTCCAAAATAAATAAATATATATATATTTTTAAGATTTTACTTATTTATTTGACAGAGAGAGACACAGTGAGAGATGGAACACAAGCAGGGGGAGTGGCAGAGGGAGAAGCAGGCCTCCTGCCGAGGAGGGAGCCCGATGCGGGGCTCGATCCCAGAACCCTGGGATCATGACCTGAGCTGAAGGCAGACGCCCAACAACTGAGCCACCCAGGTGCTCCCAAAATAAATAAATGTTTTTAAAAAATTACTTTCATTTAATCAAATATTTCTAAATTTGAATATGCTTTCAAAGGCAGAATTTAAAGAACGGTGATCATGAAACTAATAACTATGTATCATATTATTCTAGCACAGCACCTGGGACAAAGGATGGATCTGAATACTCACCACTGCTCCACCATTTCTTGCCATTAATTACATAGCTATCTCCATCTCGTTGGATGCTACATTCAATATTTGTGGCATCACTCGAAGCTACATTGGGCTCTATAAATAAGCAAAGGTTGAATTTACAGGCAGGTAGACATCATCAGTTTACAAAGAGACTTTAGATAAGGAAATGTGAACTCTTTGAGGATAGAGGCATGTTCCTAACCTTCCTCCCTTCTTCCACTCTGGTTCTCCTATAATCTACACATAGTAGGTATTCAGTAAATGTGCATTGGAAGAATGAATGAATGAATATCGAACACTGGGATCAGCAATCTGAATTGTGTTCTTGGCTTCCTCACTGATACATGATTTGAGATAATGCACTCAATCCTTTCTCTAATCATCAAAAGTAGGAACATTGTTGTTTATTGTCCACAGTGGAAATCTACTAAATACTAAATATTTGCAAGCCAGATTTCCCCACCATCTAGTTTACTATCTTAGACAATTTCCAACTGTACCTTGCAAATTCCATCAGGAATGCTCTCACTGACTTATTTTGCATTCTGTAAAGCCTGCTCAGCACAATCTCTTCAGAAAGTTTTCCATGGGACACCCTCACACAACTGCTTTACTATATGGCATTTCAAAATGTACAGGCTAGCCCTCAGTCATAGTAATCTGCACTTGTTAATATGCTGCTCTTTTAAATGGGTCCTTCAGATATTTTGTGTGTTCTATTTCTAAAACTAGAGACCCATGGGGTTCCTTTAGAAAGGGATCTGTGTACTTATTTTGTAACCTCCAATTAGTGCTTTTAGTAGACAACATGTCACTGCAGATGTTCAATAAATGCCTCTCACTGATTTTAAATGGAGATCAGTTTTGCTATTATAAATACATACAGTGTTATAGAAGACTTTTAAATCTGGCTAAAATTATGGCCAGATGACATTTAGTTTAATTCTAAACTCAACTATAAAATGATGACTTTTTCCTTTGAAGAATTCTCAATTGCTGTTTCCTATGTACAAATGGTACCAAACCCATTTTTAACATGCTCCTAATTTTACTTCCCCATATGATCATAATTTGAACTATGTGACCAGCATTGCTGAATGGTCTATTTTTCTAGGTTTATGGCAGAGTTAAGTATTTTGTAACTATCAATAAAAATTATTACAAAGACGACTATTTCATACACAAGGGCAAAAAAGATATTAAATATACATACATGGCAATTTTAGAAATGCAAGTCAAAAAATTATGAAGTTAGGTTTACTCTGCTGCTAAATGCCTAAAGTAAACTGCCAGAAAACATCACCTGGTATCCTCCCAAACGGGAGGACAATTTTACTCTGCACATTTAAAAATGCCAAAATTTGAAATTGGGCTCAAAACAAACATATGCCTATCTCTGTCCATGGGCAAATTTGCCTGACATACAAAGCCATTCTTTCATTTTAGCTCATCTATAATAACTCCAGGATGACTGACTGCACAAGGGGAGAACCATGATTTGCTTTTACCTGTCATACAGAAACAGGAGGCAATGTTCCCTTGAAGAAGAGGCTCAAGCCACTGCTGCTTCTGCTTTTCACTTCCATATAGGTGGAGCAACTCCATGTTCCCTGTGTCTGTAAGTAATAAGAAAAAACACTTCTTTTGCATTTAAAAATTTACCAATATGAAATCCAAACTTTATGTTGATAATATACACATGTATCTTTTTAAGGCAAACATCTGTTTAAAAAATATTTTGAAACATAATAAATATAATTTATAATGAAGGTATGCCATAAATAGTTATTATAAGTATATGGCATTTGGTGCATATTTATTCAATTTGTGTTCAATTACACACACTTGTCTGCTTCGTCCCTAATTCAGTCCTAATTGAGGTCTGACTCAATTAGGACTAAGGAAAACAATTTACTGCCTTAATCTTTCCCTGCTTTCTTGCAAATATGCTTTGCTAGGAGTGACTGCAATGCTCCTGGAGAACAATTATCATTACATGCTCTACTGAGACTCCATCGCTGAGACTCCTGTTCCTCAAACATACACTGTGCTAACTTTCACATATTTGCCTGTGCCAAGCCTTCTCTCAAGTCCAATTCTACCCATCATTCCTAAGTAAATTCCTGCTTCTGAGCCACTTCCATCGCGAAGAATCTCTGATTACCCAGTCAGAACTATCTCCTTCCTCTGAACTCAGAGTAGTATTGTCTCTTTACCTCTACCATTGCTCTTACTTTTGTGCACCCCCTACCATCTAGAAAAGTACTAGGTAGTATCTCAAGAATGCTAAACACAGAATCCCTGATAGAAAATGACAACAGATAACTTCAAAGACACTTTCTAAACCTCAGAGGGCATTGTTCAGTAACTGATATACTACTATCACTCTCATATAAAAAAGAATGCTTCATATCTGCCATGGAGCAAAACACTCTAGGGGCTTTTCTCTGATATTTGTTCCTATAAAACTTTTTTTTTTTTTTAAAGATTTTATTTATTTGACAGAGCGAGACAGCGAGAGCAGGAACACAAGCAGGGGGAGTGGGAGAGGGAGAAGCAGGCTTCCCG